CTTGGACTACAGGCTTCTTTAAAAGAGAGTGCTAAGGTATAAACAGGGGAAGGAAAAAAAAAAAATCTGATGATGGTTAGATCTTAAGAGCTATCCCAAGAGGCCCAGGGAGGATCACCTTAAAATTCTGAAACAATTATTTCATCAGGTAATTGTTCTGAAACATCCACCTCTCACAGAAAGACCACCACAGACTAATTGTTAAAAATCTGTTCACAAAGGACTTTCTTCTCATCAAAAAAGCAAACCTTTTGGTGCTTTTTAGACGGTCAGGACCAACAGCAGCTAAGAGATTTCAACATGAGTAGACCACTCATGCATGGATCCACAATCCAATTTCTACTCTGGAGAGAAGCAGATACTTGATACCAAATCCCAGTCAATCTAAGAATCGTAACCCCTGATGAAATGCAAGAGTGTCTACCTTCTCACTGTATGTAGTGCCTAACTTTTTCCATTATCTCTATCCTTTATTACTGGATGAATCTTGCAAAAGGCTCATCAGACATCTCTGGGGAGCAGACTACATGGCTACAATAGCACATTCTAACTAGCATGAACAGTGTATCTTCAAAAGCGGAATTAATTTTACAGCCTCTTTCATGGACGTATAACCACACCTTGGCTTAAATGTAGCTATGTTTAAAAGCATGCCATTATTTTTTGTTCATAATTTTGAATATAAGAAAAAACAACTACATTTCAATATTATATAATTTGAACATTACAAAAATTAAAGGCACAATTGTCCACCTGTCTTAAAATCTGTCCACTTGTCTTAAAATCTGATGCATTTGTATCCTTTCATTTCTGATAAAACAGCTACAGATTTTTAATACAATTTTTTCACTTGTCCAGATCAAAATGGATGTTTTTTTTAAAATCTACTGTACATTTATCAAACATGTTTGACTTTAGTTCAAAAGTGTGTAGCTCTATAAATAGTGAATTTGTATTTCTATCTATACGCTGCAGACAAGAAATCTCACTTCATACCTTGCAAAACCAGACTGTTTTTCATATGCTTTTTAAAACATGAATCAAATCCGAACATTAACTCTCACAAACTATTTTATCTTAAACCATTAGCTATTTATTGTAGTCTTTCACATGAAGTTCATTCATTGCACCCTTGTTCTTCCAACCTACTTTCATCAGGTTCACAAGAAATAATTCATATGAAACTAATACACATGTGGTGTCCTATATCTTCATCGTTCACTTCTTTCCAATCTGTTATCACCTACAATTTAGCTAATCTAGGCTATTATGTGCTTTATTATGCAAAGAAAAATAGAGAGTCTCTTAGTAGTGGATAGCACAGCAGAAAACCAATACTCACACATGCTCATATACACAATAAAAACCGCTAGTGAAATGCGTCAACCAAGAACTTCTCGCTTTTCAAAGAATGCCTTAGTGGGACGCAACATTAGAATAAAAGGAAGCAGAAATATCCACCTTTTTAAGTATATTGGTATTTATACAGTAATATATTTTCCTGGTTTCTAATCTTTCTGTTTTCTTCTACTGTGATATTCTTTCTTACATTTTAAATGTAAAAATTTCTACCACGTTCTTTGGTGTCTTTTCTTTTTATGTTTTAGTTCTCCTTTTGTATTTCTCATTCAATACCTAAACTTCCATGTTTTCCTTTTTTTCTTTTTTGAATTTCGACAAACTCACTTATCTTTCTGAAAAGCTGAGATTT